ACGTAACAGATCGAACAGTGAACGTTGTTGGCATCCAAACGAAAGGCACTAGTTCTCCGGCCTGTACGCCAAAGGTGCCACGGAACAACTGGCGGTATGCTGGTTCGACTGGCAAAGCACTGGAATCACGTTAACGTCTGAAAGTAAACAATACAATACAAGATATACGAGACAAGCGCTCGAAACCACGATGACGAACTCGTGGGCCAAAACTTGGTCGCGCAGGTGAAATAACTCATTTTTTGAAGAAAAGGCAAGGCGATACCACACGGAGGTTCCTTTTTTCTGCTACAAACGTGATTTGTGCTCTGCCATTCCGCGCTCAAAAGACATGTAGGCTCAAATGAACGAAAATAGGCAGAACTTAATTTCAACTTATAAACAACAGGTTTCATTAGTTTTTTTATAGTGTACTTACTGAGCAGCAGCAGACGCAACCGATAAATATAAAGAGGCAAAGTTTTATGATACCAATAATGCGAAAGATGAGTGACGGTACGCATGAAGTTGCTTGGAACACGCTAGGTACCATTTCAACGAGGTTCTGCCGTTTTCGAAAACTCATACGTATTAGCGATGTTGCATGCAGCTAAGCAGCAGATAAGATCTCACGTAAGGTGACCAATGACAACAGTTATCCTCTGCACAGAATGAGAGGAGACACAAATGTCCAACTATCCACAGATTCACAATGTCGAATTCGCAGATCTTAATCATACAAGTACTGGGAAAGAGGCTACTTGCTTTTCGTTCCCATTCCATGTATATCGATCAGGCATAATTCGACTCGCACTAGTCGATCAACCCAAAAGTCGCCATCATTCATTTGGAGAGTACAATAACAACAACAACAACAGGGGTCACATATTCCGCTGATGATCACATTTAATAAGCAGCTGTAAGGTGGGTGAAGGCGAATCGCAACCGTATGAGGCGCTCGCATCAGGCAGCATAGCTACAAATCCCGCCCCTTCCGGTACGACGATACCAGGATACCATGCGGTCCCTACTGTTCGCAAGTCAGCGACTTAATAACCGTTTCTCGGCTGGTTGCACCAAAGCAGCGTAGGCAAAATTCCTGTTCAAATAAATTTTCGGCTAAGATCAAGATCGTGGTTTTTCGGATTCGTACCCGGCATTTCCGGAGTACGACGCCGACCTCTTAGCCCCGGTAGGCGCT